CCACAGGTGTGGGTTCAATTCCAGACCTGAAAGGCAGCTAGGGGCCATAGTCTCAGTGGTTCCACCAGGGTCTATCAGACCAGCAAACCTGGTCCCTCCCGTTTTTTGTTTTTTGTTTTTCTCCAAATGATTTTGAGTTTTGTCCCACATTGTTCTCTCTCTCTATCAAGGATCTCCTACATAGATCCCCCTCTGAGTGGTTAACAAGTGGTAGCTTGGCACCATCTAGTTCTGGTCTCGTAGTCATATAGGCTGTGGATCGGATGGTGTACCAGTCACTAGGACTAATTGTTTCAATGGATTTTTGGTTTTCTTCATTCTTCTTTTCTCTGGACAAGGAGAGACTCATCATTGCATCTAGATCCCAGTTGCTACTTGCCAAAATAGGAGGTGGAACAATGTTTTGTGTAGTATGTTATGCCAATTGAGCTTGATATCCCCCTACGACTATGGTCTCAAGCCCACTGATTCAACTACTCAGTCCCTCTGGGTAGCTGGCTGTGACTAAGCAGTGACTACAACCTTGTCCCTTGTCAGCTCCACTATACATCTGGGAATTCAGATCATACACATAAACTTATAGGACCATTGTCTGCCAACCCTATACAAGTTCTCGGGTACACTGCCCGCTTCATAGACATACCTACCAGTTCAGCCTGTCCACCATCTATCCACCTGTGTACCCATATTTGCCTTCACTGACAATGCAGTACTGTATATGCAAAAGGGTTCATCTTTGTTGTCTGTACCTCCCATGTACCTTTCTATGTCTTTTTCTTCCTCCATGCCACCATATTGCTCACTCACATTTGGTAGATTGCCCTTCTCTTCACCCAAATCAATACTTATCTCTATCTACCTAACAGTGTTCCCTCCCCTCCCCTCCCACCCCTGGTAACCAACAAAGAAAATTTCCTTCCATAGATAAACCTTTCCTTGACTTTTACAATAATGGACAATATTTGTTCTTTTGTGATTGACTTATTTCACTCAGCATAATGTCCTCCAAGTTCATCCACGTTATGCGGTGTTTTGCAGATTTTATATTATTCTTTAGTGTTGCATAGTATTCCATTGTGTGTATGTACCATAGTTTGGTTATCCATTCTTCAGTTGATGGACCCTTCAGAGACTCTTAGAATAAAATATAAATAAACTCACTGCTAGAAGGGTCATTTTTGCCTGGCACCTGCTCTCTTCCAATGCCTGATTCCCTTGATCTTCTGGGCTGAAGGTCACTGGCTATAGCCATTGCCCCAGTTGACAGGGAAGCAGGACCCTCAGCTACGAACCCTGGTGCCACTCTGACTCTGCACCCCACCTTCACTTTCTCCTGACCCACCAACCAGCACCTCCAACCTTCAGGACCTTACTTTCAGCAGTTACCAGCCTAACTCATACCTAAGCTGATGACAGCTTAACACGTATGCACTCATGGAATCTCTGAAAGACCCCAGAGACTTGAAGAACCAAATATATCAGTTGTTAAGCCTGAAAAGACCTGCATTTGGACAAACTGGTAGAGGAAATATTTTTCTCTGTGATGGGGACTTGTGAAGACAAGTAGTGGCAAGTCCCTCAAATTACCAATAATTAGCAGCCACCCACTCTGGCTTTGGAAGTCATCACAAACCATACCACCCTCCTGCTGATCAGGGCCCACCCTACAATAAACAGACCCAAACCCACTGCCATTGTGTTGATTCCAACTCTGAGACCCTATAGGACATAGGAGAACTGCCCCATAGGGTTCCTCCCTTCCTTCCTTCCTCCCTTCCTTCCTTTTTTTCTTCTTCCCCTTCTCCTTCTCCCTCTCCCTCCTCTTCCTCCTCCTGCTTCTTGTCATCTACTTCCTTTACTGTGGTTTGGGTGAAAGTTTACAGAGCAAATTAATTTTCCAATCAACAATTTCTATACATTTTGTGTCATAACATTAATTGCAATCCCCTCAATATAACAACCCTCTTCCCATGTCCTCCCTGGTTTCCCCAAATCCAGTTCTCTTACATTTCTGTCCCTTCCTGCATCCTGAACTTTGTTTTGGGGCAAATGTGGCCTTTATGGTCTTGTATGGTTAATTGTTCTAAGGAGCACATTCCTCATGAATGTTATTGGTCACTTTATAGGCCTGTCTGTTATTTGGCTGAAAGGTGATCCCTGTGAGTGGGTTCAATTCCAGGTTGGAAGGGTGTCTAAGAGCCTATAGGGTTTCCAAGGCTGAAATCTTTAGGAAAGCAGACTGTTAGCTCTTTCTCCCATGAAATAGCTGGTAGGTTGGAATCACTGACTTCCAGAAGTTAGGATCAGTCAGCAGCCAAGCACTTAACCACTGAGCCACCAGGACTCCTTACATCTCTTAGAAGAGGGCCCCAAACGGCATTTGAGGAGTCCCCGACCTAATATGGAGTGAGAACTCGCCCAACCGCCCTTGATGCCTGTCACTGACAGTAATCAAATCAGGAGGTGGAAAAACGTCCCCTCTCCCATGTAATTGTCCTCTGTCATGCCCACAGCCACCTTAAGTTTGTGCCCTACGCATCTCACTTACCTCATCCTGGCTGCCTCTGCTGCCCCAAGTCTTCCTTCCATGCCTCCAGCCTGCTCCATCCTGACCAGCTCCCACCCCCGGCTTTGACCCTGTGTCCAGACTCCCTGGGCCTTTGGACAGGGTGAGTACACTTGGTTCCCCAGTTTTGACCTGCTGTTTACTCTAAGCCTTCACCACAATCCTAGAAGACTGATTCCTATTCCCATTGACTGGATGACAAATCCGAGTCTGTAAGGCACAAGGGAATTTTTCCAGAGCCCCAGAGCTGGGCAGGACAGTCAGGATCCTACCCGCTCTGTTCAACAGGACCCTAGCCTCTCTGCCTTGTGGGCCAGTGAAAGATCCTGCAGTGTTTGTACAGTGGCTTGGATGGAGAGAGAAAGGGCTCTTGCCTGAACTCCCAAGAACACAAACTGATTGTGTCAGGATTTTTCTAACTTGTCCCAAAGGACATCCTGTTGTGGGAGGAGATCCTTGGCACCTGTCTCTTCCCAGCAAACTTTGAAATCAGCTCATTGTGCTCAGCAATTTACATGCACGGTCTTACTCTCCTCATAGTAAAACTCAGAGGAAAAGAAACTGATAGAGAGGGATGACGTCATCTTGCCCTATGTCACTCAACTCTCCAATGGCAGCAATGATCCAGCAGGTTTCATGTCTTCTCAGCCCAAGGCCCTTCACTGCCAGCAAATGACATGGAGGAAAGATTCCTCATGGGTCCTTGAGAAGGGATAACCTCAACGCTGACCTGGAGGCAGTGTGCCTGCCAGGAGGCTCACAGCCCAGCAGGGGAATCTGGGTGGCATTCCTGGGGCACCATGGAGGTTACCTGGACAAGTGGGCCTCAGCCACGAATCTCTCCCAGATCTTGTCATCAGCCAGCAGCATTTGCAGCTCCAGTGGGCTGACAGTGTCTCTGACATACTCAGTGACAATGTCAATGAAATCTTGACTCTCTAGTTGGAAAGAAAACAGAATATGGTTGGAGGAAATTGTGGGAGAATAAGGACTGCACTGAGCAAGATCAGGAGGTTAAGTGTATATCTTCCTGAGCAGCTTCCCCCAGAGCCCTTTGGAGAGTCACCTGGGGAGTGTCTCAGTGCTGTGTGGGAGAAGGAGTCACTGTCAGCTCAGAGCAATCAGAACGTGAGGCTTCTAATCCCAGAGACTGGGAGAATCCCACTGATGGCACCCATGTACGACACGTTCTTGTGTGGCAAGCCTGCACATCAGTGTCTTCAAAATGTGGGCTGTAACCTATCAGTGGGTCATGACATCAGTTTATTGGGTCAACAGCAGCATTTTACAAAGAAAATGGAATTGACAATATTTCAAACCGTGAGGACAATCACCCTACAAGGAGATGCTCCTGCTGACAGCGTGTGGCCCCAGAAGGATGGCATATGGGGAGGGCACTCCTTCTGTTAGTAACATCAAGTTTGGACATTGCTAGAGGGGCACTAGAAGGAGTTCTTCAGTTGGGGTCACCACCTGGACCCTCAGCCCTGATTCTTGTGATCTCCCCATCTTATCTCTCTCACCTCCAGGCTGCTCTCAGGGACACTGTTCCCATGGGCACCTTGGAACCCAAGTGGTCCACAATGTTTACCCAGACTTTATTCAACAAAAGGTCATCTTGTTTCCACCAGTTACAAAACCAGTTACCAAGGAGATCATTCTGACTCCAGGTGACCCCAAATGTAACTGGTGCCCCACAGGGTTTTCAATGGCCGACTTCTCAGAGGTTGATTGCCAGGCTTTTCTCCCAAGGCACCTCTGGTGGACTCCAACCTCCAACCTTTCAGTTCACAGCTGGGCACGCTAACTGTTTATTCTCAGGAATCTGCCAGCCCTAACACTCTGTCAGAGACTTGGTGGCAAATAACAACAATGACAACAATTATTCTTCAATATGCCTGAGAGAGGCACAATTTGCTATTGAGGGAATTTCCTGAGAGAACTTGTTTTGGTTGCTGTTCTGGTTCCCTAGTGCCCCTCTGACAGGAATATACCACAAATGGGATAGCCTTAATAAACAGGACTTTATTCTCTCACAATTAGGAGGCTTTAAGTCCAAGTTCAAAGTGCCAGGCTTTAGGGGCTGAGGGAAAGCCCCTCAACCTTGGGGTCCAGCTCTGCCTCCTGCTCCCGGCCCACTGGAGCTAGAGGCATTTCTTCACTCAGACAGCGGTTGGCTGCTGAGGTTGAGAAACCCCAAGGTTGACAAATAAAAAGGCACAGTCCCGGTGTTACCAAACCACACGGCAGTCCATTAACTTAAGTCCATTTTAAGTCCCAAGGTCATCAGAGCATAGCAGGCTGCTGAGCAATGACACGGCTACATGCAGGGTCCAAGTGTGCCAAAGGCTAGAGACCTTCTGAAAGCTTCTCCTTAAATACAGGAAGCAAACCACATA